TGCTTTCGCTACGAACATGCTTGCGATTGTTGCTGAAACAGAATCCAAGCCAGGTTTGCACGTTAATTGTTCTTTTATTAGGAAACAAATCAAGCAATCCAGGAGAGAAAGTCAAATTTGACTGTACTGCTAACAGTTCCCCAGAGGTAACGATTATCAAGTTAAACGACTACATCGCTAACAACTGCCATCACAAGTCAGTCCGTCTCAGATCCGTTTTTGCTCTCAATGTACAGATGCCAAAACCCACTAGTACATAAATGAATGATTCCCTCATCCATTTGTTTAACTGTCTCCTTCTTTCCTCATCCCAAACCATGTTTTTGCCACACTTTTCAGAGGCTGGTTTTAAATGCTTTTCTCTTTTTTTTTTTAAACCATCATTCCTTACAAAAATCATCCTGGCTCATAAAACACATCTCACAAGAAAGAAGAAGGAAATTGCCTTTTGATGACAAGCTTTCACCACTGACTTTTGGACACCGTGACCAACATGTTACAGCAAAACATATCACCCCAACTGTGTACTTGGATGTAAGCTTACAAACTGAAATTACTTTTGAGACTGGGAATTTCCAGACAAAAAGACTATGGAGAGCACACCACTGAGTTTTTAAACATATTATTTACCCAAACTTGCCAAAAGTTTTAAATCAGATTCTTTCGAAGAAATCAAACTGAGTCACATTTATACTAGATTTGGATATCAAAATGTCTCCATTTAGAAATAAAGTATGAAGATAAGTCCGTTTTTAAAAGTCAGCATTCGCAGCATTCCTGCATCTACAAGTGCAGCTGTTAGAAACTTGGGAAAAATAATTAACTTAAATGGTCTAGTTAGCATTAAACCAGAGAGAGGAGATACCACGGAAAATTCCCATTTTTACAAATGAGTGAGGCTCAGAATGTATCAAATCTCCAACACAAGCTAATCCCCTCTCGTTTAAGGAGTCCTTGGAACAAACGCAGCCACTTGCTAAGTATATGCTTCACGGGGTCTGCAGAGAAGCCACTCTGCTCAGGAAAAATCAAAAGAAACATGGTTCCCTAACAGCAGATTTCTTCCCAAACTGCACTCCAGGATTGCTTTCCTTTCCCCAGTGTTCCGAAGAGCAAACAAAGAAAAGGTGCTCGCTCCTCACACTTCTCTAAATGTTTTAACAAAAGGCTGCTGAATAAACACATTACTCATTTAAAAATTGAAAAGAAGTTCTATTCCGGAGATGAAAGCAACCAGATTTGCATTTTAACAGTTGTGGGCGAGCGCCACCTGGCGGGAGCATCCGGAACCGGCGTGCTTCCAGCATCCGGCAGCTTCCCAAGCCCGGACGGTTTTTACCGCACGCTGCCCAAGAACGCTGCGAGACCCGTGGAGGAATATTTCTGATACTGATTCTCGCGGAGGGAACGTGAGTATCACTCGCGGGTGGCAGGCCGCCCAGGCCCTGGAGGATAGGGAAATGTAAGTCATGAGTGGTGCTTGGGTCCCCAGGAATGCCCCCAAGCACCCTCCTTCCTTCCCTGCCCTAGCACACCTAACCACAGATCTGAAACGAGGGAAACAGAATTGTGCACCATCTTCAGAATGATGTGTGGCTGTCCCTCCTCTCTTACTGGCTAAGCCAACCTTTCAGCTTCACACACCTCAAAAGAAGTGTCCTAGTCACCTAACTTCCCAGCCACGAAGCAGGCTGTCCCCCTTCGCATAAGTCCCATATTCAGTTTCCACTTTGGAGTAAGGAAGACCCCAGTGCATTTCCCAGGGAAGGTCACTCCAGCGGCTCTTAGCCTCGGAAGCAGCCTATTTAAGGAGATTACACTGCCCACGATTTCTTTCTCTTTCTCTTCGCTTTCAGCGTGATAATAGATGGGCACCGCGGCTAGTCATCAATTCAAAACGCATCTTATCCTAAGTCCCACCTGCTCATCTCTGCCTGCCCCTGTGATCCCGGCAATCTCCCCTCTGCGTGGTCACACCTGAGCTAATTGGTGCTAAGAAACTTCAAAATGATTCCGAACTTGCAAGCATACCTGCACTACTTCCACCCTTCTCTCCTTCCCCCACCGCCTACCCTTTGGGGAGCTCAGGGCTGGAAGCTGCCTCCAGTGGGGTCTGGGATGTGTAAGACCCCACCCACCCCAGGTCCTGCTGGCCTCCGGTACAGGCCAGCTTGCCACTAGGAGGCCGCCAGGGTGATCCCACACACACTAGGGGAACTACGTCTACTCGCCTCCTTCCCACGGTCAAGCCTAAATACGAGTCCCCCAAACTTTTCTGGAGCAGACACGCTCACAGGTCAAAGCCGCGACACCGAAAGGGCCTTCACAGGGGCGCCCGTTTACTTGGGATGAAAACCACGGGGTAGAAAGGAGGGCTCGCCGTCTCAGTCTAGAACACGAACACCCCCGCGGTGCTTCCAGCGGCGTAAGGACAAGCTCAGGGGCGCAGCATGGTTAGAGCAAGTCTGGAGCCGCCTGGATCTCCCGGGTGAAAAGAAAAGCCACCTCCCTGGCAGCCTCGGCCTGCTGGCGACCAGTCCTCCCCACGAAAAGCGCGCGCTGCCCTGGAAGCTGCGGAGAGAGGACGCTCCCCCCCACCACCACCCCGGGCGTCGATGCCGCTTCTCATCTCGCCGCCCCAAACACTCGAGTGACAGATTCCGACAAGTGGGAGGCGGCGAGCGGAAATATTCTCCGCAGCCGCAGAAAGTTACTCGAGCCCGGGGACCGGCAGGAAAGTAAAGCGGAGCACTTGACCGAACGCGGCGGGCCGAGGGACGCCGAGGGCCAGGCACGCTGGCCCGGGCGCGCCTGGACGAGGCAGCCCGCGGCTGCAGGCGGGGACCCGGGCTCCGGCAAACCCCTCGAGCCTGCACAACTTTCTCCGCCCGGGACCCAGCGGCGGACGCCGGGATGCGCCGAGGAGGGAGCGGGGATCGGGGGCGCACTCACCTGCGGCGCTCTGCGCCCGGGCGCCGGGCAGCGGCTGCAGCTGCAGCCGCAGGAGCAGGCTGAAGGCGAGCGCGGCGAGGTTCGCCATCCGGGCGGCAGCGGCTCAGCCCCTTCCCGCGGGGGCTGGGGCCGGGACTGGGGCGACGCCTCGCACACGCCCGCGCCTGGCCCACGCGGGCTCCCCGCGCACCCTAGCCCGGCCAGCCGGCTCGGGGCCGCTAGCTCGCACAGTCACGCGCCTACACGCAGCGCCCCCGCACCCATGCTCCCCGCGGGGTCCTCGCCTCTTCGCCCGGAGCCGAGCCGCCGCGTGCACTGTCTGCCGGGCTGGGGCGCAGGTATCGGCGGGCGGTGGCTGGGAGGGAGAGAGGGAGCTGCCGTTTGAACTCAGAGTGGGCGAACAGGTGAGTGGGGGACGGGTGCGAAAGGGGGGAAGGCGGAGGCAGCCGTTTGGACCCGGGATGTGGAGCCAGGTGAATGGGGGTGATGGGAGGGGCCTCTGCCCTGAACAGAAGCAGGTGTCCACTAACGAGGGTCTCCGGCACGCCCTAAGATGAGAATTCCATGTAAGAGTCGTCACCGCACCACCAGCACACATACAGATAGATACACACACACACACACACACACACACACACACACACACACACACTTCTGGGTGCATCGGTGCACCACAGTCGCCCCCCACCCACCTCATCAGCCTCCCAGGTACCCCTCTTATTCACCCACACCTCCCTCTGGTCGCCACCCCCAACTTGGGAGGGGGGCGAAGACTGGCCGTGAGGCATCCCAGCCTCTCGCTGCCTTCGCCCTTCCCCTTTTTCCGGAGACAGAACCCTGTAGCTTTTTCCTATTTCTTCCCGGTCTGAACAAAGACCCGGTTGAGGCTGAAAGCCTAAAAGCCATCAAGCCATCAATCAGAGTCCGGGCTTTCCCTTGCAGCCCACAGGCAGCGACTCTGCCCTCCTGCGATCAGGAGATCTCATGGAAGACACCAAGTGCCGCTTGGTCCTGGCTAGGGGCTTGGGTTGTAAAAGCCAGGAGAAGGGTCTCTGGGCAAAGCTCAAGGGATTCACACTCTGTAAACCTGACCAGCCCCCTACACCCCACCCCATCCCTGCCTCATCTTGTTGGGATTCCAAGGATGGGATTGGACAGACTGTTGGGGAGAAATACAAAAGTCAGGCATGGCTACGGGGGGCTCTGGATTGAGTTGCTATGGCAGAGAACACAGTCTCTCTCCCCTGTACCCCAGTTCCCCCTAGATGCAGTGGGACACTTGCCTTGAATGGAGACCCATTAACTGCCCCCACACACACACACTGCACTTGTAGTCTCAGGCTAATTCTCCCACTCCTGTCTGGCTCCCCCACCACCTTCAAACGGTGAAGGACTTAGACTAGGTCGTGGATTAGCCAGTGCTCAACTATGAGGAGGCCCGGGAGTGGACCAGCTACCTCAGAGACTCTTAATAATTCTACAGATTTCAACAGGGCACTAAACCATGTGCCTAGGAGCACAGAGGTGACTGGCTCTCAGGACAGCTAGGTTGGGAAGATCCCTTCTACTCAGAGCTAAACAGCTGACTACAGCGTCCGTCAAACCCTCATCCAAGGTTTGTCTCAGGCAGAGGAGTTGTTAGCAGGGCCTGACCCTAGCCCATGACCTGTGACTCTGGACATGGCTGATCCCAGGACCTGACCCGGGAAGCAGGAGATTTCTAAGCCACTAGGGAGCTTCTGATTTCTTATAACTTGTCCTTGCTCCCTTTGGCTCCACTTCATGCCCTCTCTCAAACTTTCTGGAAAAGCACAAAACGCATTCCTCAATAGTGTCTTCAGAGCACAAACCCTCCCATATCCACACTCTAAAGGTGCTATATTGCTGCCCTAACCCGCTGAGTGGTGTTCACGTGGCCCCAAAATAAAGCTCCACTCCAGGGACTTCCCTGATGGTCCAGTGGGTAAGACTGCTTTCCCAATGCAGGGGGCCTGGATTCGATCCCTGGTCAGGGAACTAGATCCTGCATGGTGCGACTAAGACCTGGCACAGTCAAATAAATATTAAAAAAAAAAAAACTCCACTCCCAAGGTAACCAAGCTGGCGAGTAGGACCATCACCTGCCCTTGTCACTGGACTGTCCCTGCCCCTGTTGAAGCCAGGGCTCTCTGTGTTTTGCTTGTCACCCTCTGCCTGGAAATTGATCCCTCTATTTCTTCAGGAGCCAAACCCACCACCCAGTAAGACTCTGACTCTGGTCCCACCACCGTGCCTTTGCACCTGCCGTTCCCTCTTCCTGGAAGGCCCTTCCCTGTATCACCTCCCTGAATAGCTCCATAAATGACTTCTCTAGCCAAGAGGCACTTCCTGCCCACGGCCAGTTGCCAAGGCCCCCTGAGACAGCCGCTGAGGCGATGCTTTTCACACGGTGGGGGTGTGGTTTGTCTCCTGGGTCTTTTCCACAAGCCTGAATTCTCAAATGGCACCTGGACACGTAAGACAGGGCTGCTGGCTGATGGGAGGTTGAGGGGAGGGGTGGCTCAGGGCCACAGATGACTGGCTTCTCAGAGGAGGGACTTCGTGGAGAGTGACAGCATCATCTCCCACCCTCCTTTGCAGGAACTTCAGTGCTGAATGGAAAGGAGGGGCTGCTTTCCCATCTGCCCCCATCAGCCCAGGGAGCTGGGGGATCTTGACCACATATTCACTCCTGGCTCAGGTCCAGTTTCAGTGTCAGTGCTGAAGCAAGGAGGCCAGGGTCTGGGGTGAGCTTTGTGATGGCTTCAGAGGGCCCCCTACCCCCTTTCAATTCCATTCAAGAAGGTGGCCCCTTCTCCTTAATCCCAGGGGACTGTGGGCAAGCCCTCTCTCAGCCCTGGTGTCCCTGTCTACACAGTGACTTCCCTTTCAGCTCTGGGGGCGCCAAGATAGGAGTATTCAGACACTTTAGCTGCAGATCCCTCAAGCATAGTTTGAGGGGCAGCCTGAAATACATATTCTTTCAACAAAGGAGCTGGCTGACTGCCATGTGCCGTGGCAGGACTGTGGGTTTGCAGCTTGTACAGTAGACTTGGTTTTTGCCTTCCTGGAGCTTGCAGTCTAGTGGTAAAGACCGAACAAAGATCCAGAGGAGACCTCCATCTCCCCAGCCCCTCCCTCTGCCCCCAGTGATGGTCAGCTCTACAGCGGGGATCAAAGGACCAGGGGGAAGACACCTTGGGCCAGGATGCCTTACTTACCCATGGGGAAAGCCTGGTGATGTAGCTACTGTTTTATCCCCTTCTTATCCACAAGGAAGCTCAAAGAGGCTTCACCCTGTGTAGGGAGGCGGCTGAGGAGTGGCCCTCCACTGGAGCCTTCTCTCTCCTTGCTGTTGGGCAGGGTACCTCTAGTCATTTAAATACAGAATTTAGAAACTGAGTCTTTAGTCACACTAACCACATTTCAAGTGCTCAGGGGCTTTATGTGGTTAGTGGCTGCCATATTGGACAGCACAGATATAGACCATTTTCATTAACACAGAAAAATCTACTAGCACTGCTCAAACTACAGCCTGTGGGCCAAACGTGGCCCACTGCCTGCTTTCTTTTTAAATAAAGTTTTATTGGAACACAGCCGTGCTTATTATTCATTTGTGTACTGCCTATGGTTGCTTTTAGCAAAAAGTTCTATTAGTGCTGCACTCAAGCAGGGGTCAGCAAACTACTGTAATAGGGAAGAATCTTTGCATTCTATTACAGGTTAATACTAAAGGGATGTTGCCTATAAGCTTAAATTATACATAATGGCCCATTTCTGGGAAACCTGCCTCCCAGATGAGTGTTATGCTAAAATACCTTTGTTTAGCATCACCTGTGAATGGCTGCAGGAAAGAAGAAATTAGTATACCCCCTCAGGAGTTTGACCAGAACCACAAAATGTTTGAAATTACCCCCTCCCCTTTTAGTATAAAAGAAGCCAGAATTCTAACTGAGGGCAAGCTGGTGTTTTGGGACGCTACCATCTTCTCCGTCTTGCTGGCTTTCTGGATAAAGTTGCTGTTCCTTACTCCAGCAACTTGTCTCTGGATTTTTTGGCCTGTCCTGCAGCAAATATTACAAGCTTGAACTCAGCAACACTGCCACCTGTAAGGTCCTTTGTAAAGTCCCGCTTTGGGGTGCAGCAGTATTATTGGATAATGCATGTTTTTGTAGAACAAAGTTGTTGAGTCGTGAGGTTCCACTTGAAAAATACTTACAGTTTTTTAGTTGCATTTGAGTTATTTATATTTGCATGTCTTGACAGAAAGTGTAGCGGAGCAGGATCCTATGGGGACTTCCCAGAAGAGCCCTTGATCTAGGTCCTCTGCCTGCCTCTTGTCTGTAGAAAAACTGTGGCCTCCTGGGTTTCCCTGAGGTCCAAAGAGTACATTTACTCAGAGAGGTGAGAAAATACAGAAAGAAAGGAAAATAGTCAAAGAAAGTCAAGTCGCTCAGTCGTGTCCGATTCTTTACAACCCCATGGACTGCAGCCTACCAGGCTCCTCCGTCCATGGGATTTTCCAGGCAAGAGTACTGGAGTGGGTTGCCATTGCCTTCTCCAAAAATAGTCAAGCAGTACAAAATAATAATAGTTTAGCTGTTAAACAAATTCAAGGACTTTTAGTCCTTCCTCAGGGGCTATAGATAATACTCTGAGCCATGTCCTTTGCGCTGTTTTGCAGATACCGAAACCCCCACCAGGTGGAAGAAGTTAACTGTATACCGCCCACAAGCACGTAGCCCCAGTCCAGTTGGAACCAGAAGGCTGATGACATTGACTCCTGATGACCTCACCACCAACCAATCAGAAGCATGTCCACGAGCTGATCACACACCCCAGAAGCCCCCTCCCTTATCCTGTCTTTAAAAACCTCCCCCTAAAAGCCTTCAAGGAATTTGGGTCTTTAAAAGACTAGCTGCCCTGGACTCCTTGCTTGGTTCCCTGCAGTAAACACTGCCCTTTCCTTCACCAGAACCCAGTGTAAGTAAATTGGCTCGCCCGCACGTGGGAAAGCAGAAATTTTGTTCAGTAACAACAGCACTGGTGCTTATTAATATTTCTGCCATAAAAACATTATTCACATAAGCCAGAATCTAGCCCACCTCCTGTTTTTATAAAGTTTTATTGAAACACAGTCCTGCATATTTGTCTACATATTGCCCTTGGCTGCTTTCTGCACTACAGAGGCAGAATTGAGTAACTGTGAGTAACTGTGACAGATTATCTGGCCCATTTCACTGAAAATATTTACTGTCCTTGCCCTTTACAGAAAAAGTTGCCAGCCCCTTCTCCAGAGCAGTGTCACAGCACAAGCTGACAATCATTGGTAAAACTGGTTCTCAAAATGTGGTCCTTGGACTAGTGGCACCAGTATCACCTGGGAACATGTTAGGAATGCAAATTTTGGGGCTCTACCCTATACCTACTGAATTAGAAATGCTAGAAGTGGGGCCCAAGAATGTGTTTTCACCAGTCTCCCAGGTGATGTTCCCAGGTGAGCATGTTTAGAAGATGCAAGCTCATGTTGAAAAATCACAGATCTAAAACAGCCATGGAGAAAATGCCCGTAAGTGACTGGCACAGAGAGGTGTCAGTGGGCTCCCAAGGGAACAGAAGAGTTGAAAAGATGTCAGGAGAGTGATAGCCCATCCGCTGCCTGGTCCCTCCGCAGCAAACCTTTGACAGCCCTTGGACCAGGCCATGCCAGCCTGGAGGGGACCTCTCACCAGCCACCTGTGCCAATGCCCAGGCCCCAGTGCCTGGCGGCCCCGCCCTCCCACAGAGTTGTCAGCGCATTTGGAGCTGTCTGCACGCATAAATTCATGGACCAGCTGTCTCTTTTAATCTGGTTGCAAGATGAAACCATTAATAGATGTCAGACACATTGGCAGTGATCTCTTCATTAATAATTTCCTCCTTTCTGAGAAAAAAAAATTAGTAACAAGCAATCATCAATAATTCAAAAATACAAGTTAACCTTTCTATTAGCAGAGTGGTTCTGCACACACCACAGACTCTTTCAGAGCCAATAGTTCTGGCTTAAACAATGTTTTTACAGCAGGAATATTAATATGTTAATGCTGTCTGTTGAAATATGCAAATCTAAAGAACTCAAATGCAACTTAGAAACCATACGTATACTTTAAGCATAAGCTGATGATCTAACCGTTTTGTTCTGTAAAAACATGCATTATCCAATAATATCTCTGCGTCCAAAAGCAAAACTTTACAAAGGAATCACTTTGAGGTTGAGGCCTTTGTGATTGGAAAGATCTCTCTTGTGCTGAACCAACGCTACCACCCTGTCATTTCTCCCCTTTAGAGTCAGCTTCTCTCTGGGGACAGACAGAAAGCCTGGACACACTTCCAAGTGACTTTCATTTGGATGTTGGTGTGCTCTTGGTAAGCCTTCTCAATCCTTAACATCAAGGGTCCCTAGAAACTCATGTAATAATAATAAAGTCCACAGTAAATGCGCTTGAATCATCCCGAAACCATTCCCACCCCGGTCTGTAGAAAAATTGTCTTCCACAAAACCGGCCCCTGTTGCCAAAAAGATGGGGGACTTCTGCTTTGCATCCTTCCTGGGCCTCTTCTTATATGATTTCAGATGCCACCCTCACTGCCAACATCTGTTTCCTCTTCTAGAACATGCTTTAATTCAGTAACACTCCTCTAGTTTGGGATTAATGTACATATACTACTATATATAAAATAGATAATCAACAGGGACCTACTGTATAGCTCGAGGAACTCCACTCAATATTCTGCAATAACCTTTATGAGAAAAGAACCTGTAAAAGGATGAATATATGTGTAACTGAATCACTTTGCTGTACACTGAAACTCACACAACATTGTAAATCAACTATACTCCAATATAAAATTTAAAAAAGGCCTTCCAGGTGAGGCCTTGCACCGACCTGCTCACATTCCTTATACCTCCCTTTACCACCATGGTGACCATGAACTAGTCACTCCTCCTCTGCAGATCTTTCTCCCCACTGGGGTCGTTATTCACCCAGACTGAGCTGAGTAAGAATTAAGTGCTTTTATGGATGTTAGAACCCCTAGTACAGGGCTGGCCTGCTCAAGAGGTCTCTTCTTTTCCTTCCTCTGCTACTTCCAAGTCTTAGACTCACAAACCACCCCAGCCTTGATGCCACGCCAATATCATACACACCTGGATGCCAACACAGCAAGGAGTGCCAGCTGCCTCATCCTTGGGCAAAACCACCGACACATGGTCCAGACCATTGGCAGGTAGATCTCAGTGCCTGGGATGCTAGGGCAGCATCTTGCTTTGCCTAAGTGGGTTCTGCCAGACAGCTGTTTCTTTTCATGAAAACTCACACACACACACACACACACAACTAAGCGATGTGTGCCAAGCACCCACCATGGTTGTTTGTGTTTCTATCATATGTGTGGTCCCAGGCTGAGCAACTGGGATGGCAAAGTAAGGTGACCCCCCACCCACAGGCACCCAGAGTCAGCCCCGGGGAGAGGTCACACAGCACATCAGGGGCAGGAGGCTGTTAGGGTCATGGACATAATCAATGGACATCTAACGGGATTGAGGCATAGCCCCAGCTTTCACTTCTTGCTTCCAGCAAAGTGCTTCTCTGCAGGACAAAAGCCACGGTCCCCGTGGTAGCCTGGGGCCCTGTGGTTGGACACGGGCATTTCAGAGCACTGGGGTTCCCCAAGGCTCTCAGCTCCTCCCCTCGTCCCTGACTCTAGATTCTCAGATTCAGGAGGGTCCCAGGTAAAGGATGGCCTCACCTGTCTGAGATGGGCTGAACCTGTTGCTTCTCTGAATCCCCCTGCAGCAAGCTGAGCTCAGACCTCAGCTCTGTTCTGCCTCCGGTCTCATTCCTCCCAAGCCCGCCCCAAACACAGCAGCCGGAGCGCTTGATGGTGGAGACCTTCAGCCCACAATCCTGGTACTCGCCAGCTTAAAGCCCTTCACAGATGCCCTACTGCCCTCAGAATAATGACATGTATACGCTACTATGTGCAAAATAGCTTGTGGGAAGCTGCTCTGTAACACGAGGAGCCCAGCCTGCACTCTGGGATGCCCTAGAGGGTGGGATGGTAGGGTGTGGGGGGATGGTAGGGAGGCTCAAGAGAGGGGATACATATATTCTCATGACTGAGTCGCATTGTTGTACGGCAGAAACCAGTGCAACATTGTAAAGCAATTATCCTCCAATTTAAAAAATAATAATAAAATAAATTTCCTCGTGGATTAAAAAAAAAAAGAATTAAGTCCAAATCCTTAATATGGCCAACAAGTCCCCAAATGACTGAGCCCAGCCAGCCTTTCTAAGCCTGTCCCTTCTCTAATTCACCTTAAACTCCCCCACATGGAGTCCTCCTCGCCAGGTCAAGGAGGAAAGAAGGGCATTTTTGTGGCAGGAACTGCTAGGCAAACACTCAGAGATGCAGAACACTCTGCTCGTTCCCATAGGCTAGGACGTGCCCCAAAGGCTCCCTCCTTCCTCTAACATTATTTACACACACTCTTTACTCCAAGCCACAGTGGGTGACTCTCCACTGCCTCCTCTGTCTCTGCAATGCCAAATTCAAAATCCTGATCCCGCTTTATCCTTACCTGGGCATCCAAATCACTCAGCTTTGGGAGGACCCAGGGGTTGGACGGTAGTGGAGGGAATGAAGAAGTGTCTAGCAGTTCTGTGTCCATAGGACCACCTGCAGAGCTGCCTTCTCCATGAGGGTGGCCACCTCTGCAGGGTCAGGACTGTGTCCACATCCTCATACCCTCAACGCCAAGGCCCCAGGTGCATCCAGCTAGCATTCAATATATGTTGATGAGGGCCAAATTTGCCTAGTGGGGCCAAATAGAAGATCAGGATGAGCTGTCTCCACACAGGAAGTTCAGTGCTCCTTCTGTCAAGACCTGTGGGGAGGTCAACTCACCAGAGCAAGGCTCCCAGGTGCTCAGAGTGAAATGTGTCAGGTGACATTTCCAATGGTCCCTGATGCTGGGATCCCCCAGGAGCTCTTGTTGATAACTCAGAACCCTCACTCAGCCCAGAACTGATGAACCCCAGACTTCAGAGCCTGGCAATGTTCCCTTTGTATCAGACTGTGCGCTGAGGAGGCTCATGGGAGATCCTGGGAGAGGAACTCTGTCCAAGCCGACAAATGAGCATCAGTGCTATGCTGTCGTCAGACTGCTGTTAGCACCCGGCCCAGGCTCCGAGAAGGAAAAGGCCCGTCCTGCCAGAGAGGAACCAGGAGAGAAGGCCTGGAGTCTTCAGAAGCCTGTCTGCCCCCCAGTGCCAAGCCTGCTCCAAGTGGGGCCCGAGTCTCAGGAACGATGGACACTGGACCTTTGAGGAGAAAATGGGATCAAGAAGTATGAAACAGACGATACAGAAATAAGGCCTTTTTGGGGGATGGGGGTGGGGGGAGCTGAATCAAATCATATTTTTTTAAATTTGTATTTATTTTTATTTATTTGGCCACACCAGGTCTTAATTGTGGCACTCAGGATCTTCAATCTTAGTTGCAGCATGTGGGATCTAGTTCCCCAACCAGGGATCAAACCCAGTCCCTCTGCACTGGGAACAAGGAGTCTCAGTCACTGGACCAGCAGGGAAGCCCTTCAAATCATATTATTAAGGGACTTCAGGGGAGGGTCAAGTGCTGGGAGGACTTTAACATCTGAGGTCTGTGGTCTGGCCAGCTTCATGATGGCTAAAAGCAAATACCTTTTTTTTTTTTTAAGAGGAGCTTCCTAGGCAGCTCAGTGATAAAAATTCTACCTGTCAGACAGAAGACTTGGGTTCAGTCCTTGGGTGTGGAAGATCCCCTGCAGAAGGAAATGGCAACCCACTCCAGTATTCTTGCCTGGGAAATCCCATGGACAGAGGAGCCTGGCGAGCTACAGCCCATGGGGTATCAAAGAGTCATTCACAACTTAGTGATTAAACAGCAGCGGCAGCAATTTTTTTAAAAAAGAAATTCCAAAAACTTCCTTCAGACCTCAAGTTTACAGAATTGGCTTCACCAGAATTCCTGATTCTTAATATACTTTCATGATGTTTCCCTGTGTAACTCTCTCACTATTTATTTACTTATGTTTATTACTTTTTATGATTATATGGATTTGGCATTTTCTTTTCATTGACTTGTTACTTTATTTTTGTGTTTTGAGAAGTATCAGTGAACCTCCCACCCACAGATAAAATCTGTGTTCTTGATGGTGACAGAATTCTGCGCACTCAGGCCAGCATTTGAATGCTCCATAGATCAAATTTAGGTGGGCAACTGAGCCTTTGGGGCGAGAGCACAGTTGTTTCTGGGCTCTCACAAGGCAGCCAGGCCCAGGTTTCTGCCGCAGTGGTTCTCAACCCTGCTGCATGTTAGAATCACCTAGGATCCCACCCTCAGCCATCATGTGATTTGGAGAGGACTCAGACAACAGTCCTGGTCAATATACCTTCCCTGTGGCTCAGGCAGTAAAGACTCTGCATGCAATGCAGAAGGCCTGGGTTTGATCTCTGGGTCAGGAAGATCCCCTGGAGAAGGGAATGGCAACCCACTCCAGTATTCTTGCCTGGAGAATCCCATGGACAGAAGAGCCTGGCAGGCTACGGTTCACGCACGGGGTCGCAAAGAATCAGACATGACTGAGCGACTAACTCTTTCATTTCTGGTAAGAGTATTGTTTTAATATACCTAATATTCCCACTAAGAACCACTGCAAAAAGATTCCCCATTCATAGTCTCCTGCTGGGTGTGTGTGATATGAATCATCTGAGAATTGGTGTTGGATGGGGGGAGCAGGGGCTACACCCTTAAATATACCTTTATAAAGACACCCCACCCCTTGCCCAACTCAGGGGCTCCATGCACGTACGGAGAGATGTTCCCGAAGAGGGCATGGTGGGCAAGTGTACAGTCCAGTTCCCAACATGGGTCCACAGGACACATCTATTCCAGAACCACTCAGGGTGTTGGTTAATTTTGTTGTTCAGTTGCTAAGTCATATCCAACTCTTTGTGACCCCAAGGACTGCAGCACACCAGGCCTCCCTGTCCCTCACTGTCTCCTGGAGTTTGCCCAAGTTCAAGTCCATTGAGTCACAGTTGGTGATGCTTAATCCAACCATCTCATCTTTGCTGCCCTCTTCACCTTTGGCCTTCAGTCTTTCCCAGCATCAGGGGCTTGTCAATTAATTCATTAATTTTGCATGGAACTAAATCAGAATCCCTAGAGACTGAGGCTCAAGTATTTGATTTTTTAACTTGGACACTAGTGAGTCTCAGGCGTATATAAGTTGGTGAATTTATGTGGTGTCAGGAACAAGGGAAGCTATGAGCCTCCAAGTACAACTCTCCATCTGCTGAGGCCAGGTCAGCATCATGCGGACATCGGCATTGTGTCTCTGAACATAGAGGCTGAGCTTGGAACATGTACACATGATGTACTTTGGGCAGGACTCTTTTTCTTACAAATGACAGACATCTAGCTCAAACAAGCTTAAGTGAAAAGAGGAATCCAGTGGCTTATTTAGCTGAGCAATTCATGGGCACCTTCAGGCAAAGCTGGATCCAGGTACTCAAATGCCATTCTCTCTCCCCCTCCCCATCCATATATCTCAGTTTGTGGATAGTCAGAGAAATTGGACAATGACAGCTTCCTGTATAGGTCTCATGACTTACCAGTCTTTGTAAAAAGTGAGACCTTCTGCACCACCCCTGCCAACCTCTAGCAAAGACACTGATTGGCTGGATTGGGGCACATTCCATTTCCTGAAATAATTCATTCCGCCTGGATGTAGTAGGGAGGGCAGTTCTAGAACTGACCAGCCTGGGTCATTTGTCCACCCCTCCATACTGGGGCCAGTCACCATAACTGACAGCCCCCTGAGGATCCAATGGAGTGGGAAAAGAAGATTTTCTCCAAAGGATCTTGGGCAGTCAAGTAACATCTATTCATCTCACCTATGAAATGAAATACTCATGAACTCTTTTAATAAGTGGTTTACAAACTTGACCACTTACCCAGGGTCTGCTGCTGCTGTTTAGTCACTAAGTCACGTCCGATTCTTTGCAACTCCGTGGCTGTAGCCCACCAGTCTCTTCTGTCTATGGGATTTCCGAGGCAAGAATACTGGAGTGGGTTGCTATTTCCTTCTCCAGGGGTTCTTCCGAATCCAGGGATCAAACCTGTGTCTCCTACTTTGGCAGGTGGGTTCTTTTCCCCTGAGCTACCTGGGAAGCCCCCCTCTCCATCAGATGCTCTATCCAACCCCCCACCATAGACCCTGTGATTTTTACACAACCAGAGCTTTTTCAACCAGTCAGATGCTCCACAGGCAACCCAGTGGAATAAAGATGAGTTCCTTCAGTTTCAGAAATAGTCTGTTTGAGAAATATTATTTTACTGTACTATACTACAGAGAAAAACACTTCACCCAAAGCGTTAGCCACTCACTTCAGTCCCCAGGATCTCTTTCCTCATGCCTGGAACCCAACAGGATGGGGGCAGAGGACTCCCAAGTGCATCGAGACTGTCCCATGGGTGCAACAGGCCAGACTGTGCACGCTTATTTAAGCCATTATCACGTCAGATAAAATGTTGATAAATCATTATTTCTACCAGCTAAAATAAATGCTAATAACTCAAGGCTGAACGAGGGTGAGTTTGTTGAAATGACGTGAAGAATGGAGGGCATGATCTCAGAATGTAAAACCGCAGAAAATACCATCTGGAAACACAGAAATCATCTGTCTTATCTGGAAGCCTGTCTCTGGCGTGGCAAATTTAGGGATTGGTTGGAGGACAGAGTGTGCCCTGCGCCCTGGGGAGCGGGCTGAAAGGCAGGGGGAGCTGGGAGGCTCCTTTATTCAGAAACACTGTTCATCACTGTCTGCCACTGAAGCTTAAAGATCAATAATCTGGGGGACTGTTCACTTTGGTTTGGCTTCTGCCCTCCTGAAATGCTTGAACTTGCATTTACTGTGAGCCAGGACCACAGCTAAAAACCTTACGTGCATCCACCCTACAATTCCCTTATTATTTCCCATTAACAGGTGAGGAAACAGAAGCACAAGGAATTCAGTGATTCAGGACGCATACCGGTTTTAGGTTTCTTCTCAGCATCTCCTGGACCTTTTAAAATCACTGTTATCATATCTCCCAACCATGGACAAAAAAATAATGGAATGAGCAGAGAACTCTAAGCCTAACCATCTCAAAACCCTTTTCATTTTACAGACATTTCAATAGGGCTTTGCTGGTAAACAAAAATAAATAAGTTCAGTTTACCCAGAAGTCAGATCCCCTGTAATAAGTTCTGGGCCAGATTCTCCCCAGAGCAGGAGAATGTGGCATTATAGTTTAGGTTGAGTTTATTTCTTTGAGGCTTTGCTCCCCAAATTTCTCAGGCACTACCTACCTCAGGAAAATTGAGATATGATAACAAAGACTGTATAGCCCCCAAAAGCCCCCAGATTAACAAAGCTCCCCAGGGAGCAGTTGGGGGTCAGGGCTTCTGCTTTCAGAGGACAAACTCTAACTCTTGTTTCCCACGAGAAGAATCTTAAAGACCCATGGATGTTTTAAAATATAAATGTATGGAATTGTGCAGTCTCTCAATAATCAGGTTTCTCCTCTCTGACGGGTTTCCAAAACATCAAGAATTGACGAATGTTAAATATTTCCTTACTGCTAATCACGCTTCCCCCCCTCCTCCTTTTTCTCCTCCTGTAACTTCTAACATGAATTTATTTTCGATTTGAAAGCCAATCTCACTGGTTATTAGATATTCTCCCTGCTGTCACCACCAGTAAATTATTCAACAGCTGACCAAGCTTTGTTTTAAAATGATTCTCTTATGAAGCTCAGTGACATATTTGCCATGAATACTGAATGGTGCCGCGGTCTCTAAGGACACGTGAGTGATTCCTATTTACTACCTTTAGCAAAATGTGTGTGCAATTAGCAGCAAGGACTTGCCTTGAATCACAGTTAGCAGAGATGCCTGTGGCTGGTTCGCGTGGCCCTATCTTGACACCTCCCCTCCCTGACCGGGAGAAGCAGGTTCAGCTTTTAGACCACATCACGAAATAGCACATAGACCTACCTTTTGTCATGCCTCACCTCCTTGCTTGTCTTGCCACCCTGAGCCTTGACGTACCTGTAGGGAATCTCTTCGTTATTGAAAGGAGCAGCTGGCTCTGAGCGCATTTCCCTGTGAAGAAAATAAACCTGATGGAGATGAAATTGCTTAAATTGATCATATCTCCACTGCCTCATCTACAAAACGGAGATCATAGTTCCTACTTCATAGATTCTATAATGAAAACAAAGCACTGAGCACGGTGCCTGGTATAAACCGAGTAAGTGCTTGGCAGCTGCTAGCTACCTTGTTTCCTGTTGATGCCCACGTAAGTCCAGACTCTCTAGGTCACAAGTGACCCATCTCAAATTCATGTAAGCCCAAGAGGGCATGTGTTGACTTACTGTTTGTCCTAGCGGTTGATCAGTTGAGATCCAATCAGGGAAAGAGAAACTGCTTAAAGTACTCACAACAGAAGAAATTTAATTCTGGAAATTGTCTATAGAGGTGATGAGGTAACTGAGATCCCAGAAAGGGACGGGAAGTTTAACTGAGAAATACACCAGAGCAAGAAACTACTCCCAGCCTTAGGACAGAGAAACAAAGATACTGGAAGCCCATGGGTGTGGAAGGGCATGGAAGCCTGAACCATGGCAGATGTGTCCAGGGGAAGTTGTGACTAAGGTGAACACCAGGGCATGTGGTCTTAACCAATATAGAATAGTGCCTCCCTTACACGATCCCATGAACATCACCCCCCTGGCTACACCTGCCTTATTATTTCCTCCCCGGGTGTTGTGGTTAGTCCTGTCTTTGATCAATTTAAGGGGCCTCGGTTGGGAAGTTGCTTCTTCCACTGTGTTGTGTTTTCTGGGATCATCCGCCATGTTTCTGCACAGCATCCTAAATCCAGGATGCAGGTGTCAGTCCTGAGCACCCTGGATCTGGGTTTCAAAAAAAAACCCATTAAGAGGTATGACACAGAAGTGGTGGGGACAGAATGTTTCATCTTAGCACTCAGCACCAGGTGTGGGCTGGGTCAGGAAGGGCCAGGAGGTAACTTAATAAAAGCAAACCTCATCATTCACTTTGCTCCCACAAGAGTTTACTTATTCACAGACTTCTGTTGTGGTCCACTGGCTAAGGCTTCATGCTCCCAGCTCATGGGGCCCCAGTTTGATCCCCGGTCAGGAAATTAGATCCCACATGCCCCAACTAAGACACCGCACAGCCAAACAAATACATAGTTAAAAAAAAAAAAAAAAAAAAGAATTTTCTTATTGAAAAGTGAATGCTGAACTTGGAAGCCAGGCTCAGAAAGGCCCATGTGCAGAATTGGATTAAATGAATCAATCCAGTATTTTAATTAATGATCATACTTGATAGCAGGCTGTGAAAGCAAAGAAGGAGATACACTGTATCTCGTTAGGAGATCTAACTCTAAGAATGAGAGGGGGGTGGTTCTGTGGAGATCGTGGAGTCAAGAGTTGATGCTATTCATGTTCAAAGCGACTAGCTAACATAACAAATGCGCCTTCCTCAACTTTTGAATCCCAAAGCCTCAAGTGAAAATACTTCCCATCTGTTGGAGAAGGATTCCAGTCTGCAGCAGCAGTCTCTTGATAAGGCAGTAATTACTGGAGCAATTTTAGCAGTTACAAAGGCATTTTTAAAATAATTTTAATTATTCAAAAGCCTGATTAATTATCTAGCCCAGGGATCAGAGGCCAAAGAGGAATGAAGCTGTATGGAAATGGTTACCATGACAGAGGAGGGAGGGATTCAGCTGCCTTCAAACAGAAAGCTGCTCTCTGTGACCTTGGAGTTACATGTTTGTGCCCTGCAGATACTCACAGAGGTCAGACCACTGGACTGGGCATTAGGTGACCAGGTTTCCAGGCCCGTCTCCACCACTGGCCCACTGCATCCTTGGTCAAGTTACTTTACCTTATCAGGACCCTGCAAAATTAGTCAAGGGAAAGATAGAGGGGACCCCATAGCTGGTCTCTGAAACTGTATCAAGTACTGACATCCTAGAGGACTCCTTTTTAGACTTTGGAACTTTTCCTGGGACAGTGAAAAGCCAGGGAAAGTTTATGAGCATGGAAGGGCTTTCATCATATTTAGGTTTGTGAAAACAGTCAGATACCTGTGCATGAAGTAGATTAGTGTGGGGAGAGACTGGATGCGGGCAGTGGGTGGATGGGTGTGCCCCTAAATTAATGTCTGCTTTTGAGTGGAAAACAGTAGCCCCCATTCACTGAGCGTTTATTGAACACCTCATGTATACCTGGCCCTTGTGGGGGTACTGTAGACACACAGGTTCTGCCTTCAAGGAGTTTGCCAGGGCAAGGACGCCTTACTCAGATGATAGCTCACAGGTGAGTGCATTTGGATGATGACATAAGACTTGTTCACTTTTGCTGCCATGGTGAGTCATGCCCTAACCCTCTGGATTAGCCATCTCTGCAGACCCAGGATGAGACCATCTCCCGGGGCCGTGCCCTGTGCACTTCACAGAGTAATTGCCTCGCCTCCATCACAGCTCCCAACACTCACTCCCACCGTCATGTTTCCCACGTGAGAAAGTCCCAGTTGGGAATGGAGAGCTTTTAACGGATTCTCTTGGTAGTTCCTCCAACCACCCACAGTGTGTTCCTTCTTGGCTGCCTCCTAGAGCACAGTGGTGAAGAGCATGGGCCCAGAAACCAGACCATCAATGAGTTTGAATCCCTGCTCTGCTGCTTTCTTGGCTGTGTGACCTTGGACAAGTCACACGACCTCTCTGGGCCTCAGTTTCCCTATATGTAAAAGAAACTTCATATTATAAAAGTTAAAGTGAAATATCTGCACATAGTAGATGTGAGATACTTGATAGATAAATTGCCATGTTAGTTTATGTGGTTTTATTCAGTTCTATAGGATTCAGTTACCCTGTGTCTAAAATGAGATGATAATTGTTATGCCTTTATTCAAAAAATATTTACTGAGGTCCTATTAAGTGCCAGTCTTCATGGGAGCTGAAGATAATGCAAAAAATAAGGAAGGTCACTGTCCTCATGGAGTTCTCACCCTTATAGGTGAAAGGGGCCAACAGGACAACCAAGTAAATGTGTGATATATTGATAAAAAATATTTATATAAAGCAGATTAATGTGGTGGTGTGTATCCTTCTTAAGATAGAGTGGTCAGGGAAGCCCTTTCTAATGTGATGACATTTGAGCAGTGATCTGAATCAGTAGAACAAGTGATCTGAGGGCAGAAAGTAGACAGATGTCATAAGGCACAACTGGTGCAAACGGCCTGAGGCAGCATCAGGCACGACACATGCAAGGAACAGCTATAGGACCACTGTGGCTGAAGGAGAGGAGAGGAGAAAGTGGTGGTAAGATCCCCAGGGGAGACTTGGGGGCTAGAGCACAGATCAGGATGTAGAAAGCATCGTAAGGGTACTTGGAAACCACCATGGGGGTTTAAGGGAAGAGTGATAAGGTCTGACATGCACAGAAATTACCATCATGCAAGGCAGAAGGTGATATACTGGGGAGAGATATGGAGCACCCAAGAAGTTAAAGGAGAGGGGCTATTACAGGCTCAGGAGAGCAAGAAAAGTTTCAGGGAGCTGCATAGATGGTCAATGGGAAGAGACCCATATTTCAGAGGACAGGAAATCTGCAAGCGTGATGCTCATGGAATCCATTGGTCGATTTGTTCATTATTTGCTTATCATTGTCCCCTTTTTGTGCTGTGCCCTGTCCTAGGAGCTGGGGATACAATGGTGACTAAGATTCAGCCCACTTCAGTGAGTTCACAGTGCAGGATAAGCAGAGGGACAAGATTAGATGGGTGTTAATTCCCATTAAGTCAGTAAGACTCTGGGCTTATTTGTCACTGCAGCATAAGCATAGCTAGATCGTGACCTCCAGTATTTTTTTATACTTTTGCTTATTTATTATTTTTTGGCTATACTGGGTGTATGTTGCTGTGCGGGCTTTTCTCTAGTTGGGGTGAGTGGAGGCTAGTCTCCTGTTGCGGTGCGCGGGCATCTCATTGACGTAGCTTCTCTTGTGCAGAGCTCAGGCTCTAGGACACGCGGGCTTCAGCAGTTGCGGCCCTTGAGCTCTAGAGCACAGGCTTAGCTGCTCCATGGTACACGCGGAATCTTCCCAGATCAGGGATCGGAATCATGTCTCTCGAGCTGGCAGTGACCTCCAGGATTGAATAAGTGCAGAAGACACGTGGCTCCTCCAATAGCCAGCCAGACAGACATTTGTCACAGAGGCCATGACACGGTGATGAGTCTCTCTGATTGAGACAGCTCCATCAGTTAACCCACTTCACGTTTGCACACTCATCTTGACGAAAACCTGTAATGCACTTGGCCAATCTTACAAGCCCCTAATCATGATTCAGAATCCCAAAGGAAAAAGTGAGAAACAGAAATAAAATCCATCCAAAAATATTAAATCATCCCAAAGAACAGTGGTCTAGCTTCCGTGTTAATCAAGCTCTTTGAGGAGTGCTTACTCTGGGCGGGAACTTTGCTAAGTGTCACACAATAATTAACTCATTTCATCTTCAAAGCATCTGGCATCACCCCGCACCTACCCCTTCACTCTGACTTCTCCAGAGGGCACTGCCGGATTTCAAATGCCAGCATGTGCGTCTTTGCCTGAGGGCTTTCTCATCCTGACAGAGCCCACTTTACAGCCCACGAGGCAAGTCAGAAGCATTGGGGAATTAATGCCACTTCCCTGCATGTGCACACGCACACATGTGCACTCACACATGAGTGCGGACCTCATAGAGATGGCTGGAAGCTGGTGTATGTGCACCCCAGCTTTTCCACCCCTCGGGTGCCTTCTTTGCTCTGAGGTTCATGTTTTACAGTCTCTGAAACTCCCAGGACTATATCAAGTACCAGTCACCTCCAAGGGCGGCTTCTTCAGTAAATCACTGCTTCCTGGCCACATCTTTCCAATCTCCCCTTAGCCCTCATCTACCTTTAAATCCCAGTTAATTTCTTGTCTTAGAAACATGTCTCAAGGTCTGCTTTTGAAGAACCTAGGTTAAGATATGGGCTTCCCTGGTGGCTCAGATGATAAAGAATCTGCCCACAAAGCAGGAGACGT